CCCCCCCCCCAAAAAACCTGTCAGGAACCATCAGCCTCAAGGAAGTCCTTCCAAAACAGTGTGTGGACAGAGGAGCATTTGTGACACCATTTATGAGCTGTACAACCTCAATATATAATCATCAACTCAATGCAACCTATAATTTGCGAATGTCAGCGTAGCACAGCCATGCTAAAACCCTACGTAAGCATATTTTGCATATATTCGTAACGTAAAAGAACTGCATTTTTGTGTAGCGAAAGAAGAAAAAAAGACAAAAGCCGCACACGTACTATACCGCTGTTTAAACACTTCAGCTAGACATCCATTTTTTTTATTTTCTATAGATATGAAACGTCTGTGAACATTAGTAACGATCACTGAAAGTTGTCATGATCACAAATTACCTTTTGGCTGCGTAGACGCAACTGCTGCATCAGATATCAGCACACAGAAATTATTTTACCTTTGAGTCAGAAAGGTTTGAGCCATTACCCATAGCAACCCATTGTCATGTCCTATTTGAAAGTTAAAGCCAATGTCACGGGCTTCTGCGCCAATTTCCATAAATTGGCCTCGTCAAATCTGATTGGTGACTTCTGTTTTCGTTTGCGCCAGCTTTATAAGCTAGACAGCATGCTTGTTTTTATTAGAAATGATCTAAAGCTGCCATACACCTTGCGATCATCGGACAAAACTTTTCATCCGATGATCGAACCGTCGCACGATTTTCGTACGGCGGCCCCATCCTGCCCCGATAATCGCAAGGTTCAATCAGATGTAGTTAAAAAAAAACACACCTGGACGAATTGTGGTAATCGACAGCACGTATTTTAGTTTGCGCACAGGCAGTGTTAATCGTACAAATTTTGACGTACGCAACGCCACCGACCTTGCAAAAATCGTACGATCGGTCAAAGTTTTCTAACCTGCTGGATAGTCAAAAGTCGTATGATTGTACAGTATTTGCGGTTGTACACTGCCCATCAACCTTACCAATATCGGAAGAAAACGCGATCGCATACGAAAAACGGCCGATAATCGTAAGGTGTATGGGCAGCTTAAGACTAGCAATGTTACCCGGAGCAACAAGGTCCCAAAAAGAAAACCGACGAAAAAGAAAACAGAAGCATGAAAATTTAACAGCAACCAGATTCTGGCTGATTTACAAAAGTTGTGCAAAAAGAAAGCTGTTGTCCATAGCTATGGAATCCTTAAATTATATCAACTTATGAAACCTCAGGGTGCATTTAGAAGCTGCAAAACTAAAAGACCCCAAGTTCAGTTGGACGCAATAAAGAGTACCTTCAGGGGATGCCTGTTAAGTCCCCTATATAGAGCGCTTTGGTGGGTGAGAGAGCTTGGGAGCCCACTGCTAAACGCAGCACAATGTTGAAGTGTGAACAGCCCCATTGCCAAACATGGGCAAGAGTTTAAACGTGCTTTACTGCGTATATGAATGAGCCCCATACGGGTGACGAAGAGCAGCTGCGGCATTGTGACAAAGTTTCCTCTGTACAACTTTTTTAGTAAATCGGCCCCCTCGTTTAAATCCACAGACGAAACCCCAATCGGCACTACAGCCAACCGCTCCATTTTGTACTCCACTTTACCAAAGCGGGCCCAATTTTTGCTTTCTGTCAACGACGTTGATAAGAAACCGTGGCTACTTTTGTAGCTATGGGCAACAGCCCTGTGTGTTTCTTTTTGGTTTTTTAATTTGCTCTGCCTTTTGCAATCACTCGGTTTCTAGGCCAGTACAACTATTTTCTTCATTGTAACAACAACAACAAAACATAACAACGATATACAAAACATAATACCTAAAAGAACACTTAATGTTTATTATATTCTGGTTCTAAACAAAATGTTTTCCAACAGTAACAATCATGGCAACAAAATACGCATGGCAACAAAATGAAACCCACAACCCTAATGACACATGGATGTGTGGTCTGCAACCAATTTCATACGAGACCTTAGGGAGTTTGGTTAAGATTAAAAAGTTGAGTAAAGTGGTGGGCAGCCATGGGATTAGCCACCGTGTACTGGATCTCAGCCCCCAGCACAAAAACAGCCTTCATGAGCAACCCTGGAACACAGAAGTCCCAGTAACACAATCCCCCTGTAGTGCTTTGTCACATTTGGAAACTTCAGCCACACTATCAGCTGCCACAGCCGAGAGCTATGTGAAACAGACCCTTTCCGTCCACCCTTAGCCCAGTCTTACCTCTCAGCCATTTCTAAGTGTCTCCCCCTCACATGGTCCAGAAAATAAAGTCTTCAAACACAAATAAAGTGAACCAAAAGTCCTCAAGGACCTGTTGATTGCCCAGATTCCCTCAATCGGTTGTGATCCCTTAGCAATGATATGAGCAAGTGAGATAGCAAGCTCCCCCCCCACCTTCCCTCTGAGTCAGGCTCTCCCTTCCCAGGCAGGATGTGTAATCCGATTCCACTCCCAGTATATCCTCCCCCATCTACTGGTGTGTAGAGCTGGGACATGCATTATTACCCTGCACAAAGGAGGGAGGGGGGGCGTTAACCCCTTTCATACCACAGGGCTGCTTCACATCATGTGAGCCTGCTTCCAGCGAAGGAGAGGTTAAAGGAAAGTCCCTTTTTGAAAGTCCCATGCAGACGTCCGTATGACACAATCCTTTTTTTGCAAATTTTCCCTTTTCAAAAAAAAAAAAACCCCATGCAAGTTTTATCACATGACATCTTGTGGTAAAGAGACGGCATTGTAAAACGTGAGCAGAATGCCGCAGGAAAACTATTTCAGAGGATTGCCAAGAGTATTTAGAAAAAAAATTAAAAATAAAGACATTCCACAATTTACACAGATTTATCGGCATTCCCCGGAATCCTTTGTAGGGCAAAAATTCTGGCACCGGACTCGCCAGTAAAATTTCACTTTAGTGCCAAAGTCACAACAGGGCAGAATACCAAAAAGGGTTTCTTAGTTGGGGGGGAACACAATTATTTATGGAGAAGGTGGCTATATTAGTAAATGGGTAGAGTGCTGCCAATTAAATTTACACAACTCCCAAATTACATCATTTTTTAAAAACTGGTTTATTGATAAAAAGGCGGATAAATATTTAGGGGCAATTGTAGTTTCCAAAACATTCCAAGTTCTTTACGTACCCCCTTCCAAAAATATACACTATATTGCCAAAAGTGTTGGGCTGGCTGCCTTTACACACACATGAACTTTAATGGCATCCCAGTCTTAGTCCGTAGGGTTCAATATTGAGTTGGCTCGCTCTTTGCCGCTATAACAGCTTCAACTCTTCTGGGAAGTCGTCCACAAGATTTAAAAGTGTGTCTATGGGAATGTTTGACCATTTCTGAGGTCAGGTACTGATGTTGGAGGAGAAGGTCGGGATCGCAGTCTCCGCTCTAATTCATCCCAAAGGTGTTCTATCGGGTTGAGGTCAGGACTCTGTGCAGGCCAGTCAAGTTCCTCCACTCCAAACTCGATCATCCATGTCTTTATGGACCTTGCTTTGTGCCTTGGTGCGCAGTCATGTTGGAACAGGGAGGGGCCATCCCCAAACTGTTCCCACAAAGTTGGGAACATAAATTGTCCAAAATGTCTTGGTATGCTAATGCCTTAAGAGTTCCTTAACTGGAACTTAGGGGCCAAGCCCAACTCCTGAAAAACAACCCCACGCCATAATCCCCCCCTCCACCAAACTTTACACTTGGCACAATGCAGTAAGGCAAGTACCGTTCTCCTGGCAGCCGCCAAACCCAGACACGTCCATCAGTTTGCCAGACAGAGAAGCGTGCTTCGTCACTCCAGAGAACACGTCTCCACTTCTCTAGAGTCCAGTGGTGGCGTGCTTTACACCACTGCATTGGACGCTTTACATTGCACTTGGTGATGTAAGGCTTGGATGCAGCTGCTCGGCCATGGAAACCCATTCCATGAAGCTCTCTACGCACTGTTGTTGTGCCAATCTGAAGGCCACACGAAGTTTGGAGGTCTGTAGCTATTGACTCTAGAGACAGTTGGCGACTTCTGTGCACTGAGCGCTTCAGCATGCAATATTAAGTAGTAAGGAAATTTCACGGAACACCTGAATCCAATGATTTGGAGGGGCGTCCCAATACTTTTGGCAATATAGTGTATATGGTTAGACTTTCATTCGAGAAAATTGGTTTTCGTAGCGTTTGTTCAATTTTGTCATAGTTAATTGTTTTCGACCACGGTGATGAAATAAAATGGAAGGAGCCGGGTGGAAATTTTTTCTTGAACGAAAGAAATTCTCTCTCAATACGGTTTTCATTTGGGAAATTTCATTCATTCCAAAAATCGAATGTTAAAATGAAACCAAATTTTGAATTGCATTGGTCATTCAAAAGTCTACCATACCTTTCTGACTCAAAGGTAAAAAGTCTACCAGTGTATGGCTGTCTTAACAGAGTGGATGGAGGAATCTCCACTGGAGGCTATCGTATTCAGGCAGTCATGGCACCAATGGATTCCTGAATACCCGAACAGTGACTGCATCTGATAGGGTACAGTCACTGTGTGGCCAGTGATTTTGCACCTCAGACATTTATTAATTGACTGAGCTAGGTGAGAAATTATTGGCCGGACAGTGACTGCATCCTGGTGCTTACAGGGTCACCCATGGCTCGAATTTGGGCCAATGCAGTAGGTATCAGCCAAAATTAAATTGGTTTATGGGGGCCATGTCAGATGCAGGCTACCTATCATGGCAGCCTCTTTGCCACCACTTCCTATCTACACGCACTCCAGCGATGGCCGCATGGCACTTCTCTGGTTGGGTGTCTTGATGGTAACAACAGTGGACCATGCCTGCGTAAAGTGTGTTAAAATCCCTAATTGCAATCTCCATTGATAGCCTATGTGACAGGGCGACAATGCAGAAGAGCAATTAGGAGACAGGAAGAAACTAGGAAGTACCTGAACAAGGACCTCAAAGGCAGAATTACCAGCTGTAATTTTTATCTCTATAGGTTGAACTCATTGGACATGTTTATTTTTTTCAACCTGACTAACTATGTAACTAAATCCTGTATAATAATAACTATGTAACTACAATCTGCAAATATAGAAGAATATCAAAAATTACTTTTGAAATGACATTGACGCGTCAAAGTATTTCTAAACCTAAAACCGATTGTGTAATATCTTACGACTTAACAGTCCTTAGATGTGATGGCTGCATTTGTAGTCTTTTTTTCAGGCTTTGTTCCCTTTATTTTCACCAGGTAATCCTGAGAATAACACAATGTCTGTCCCTGGGTGGCTTTCCTCTCTCCTCTACTGTATGTATAGGGGAGCCATGGTTTGCCACCCAGGTTGCACTTTGTCAATATCCATGACATGGTGAGTTGATGGGATTAGCAGTTTACAAAAGAAAGATAACATTGTTTTTGCAGTCTGTTGAGCGCACAGAAAGTGAAGAAGACACCACATTTCTAGCAAAATCAACAGGTATTTTCTGTACTTAAGTGCTAATAAACATCAAAAAATCAAAAAACGTGTCCAAATAGGTAAAATAATCCGGTGAACGGTGAACTCCGTGTGAAAGAATGCAAATATACAAAGATAGCAAAGTGCTTGAAGATGATCATCTGTACTTGCTGAAAATGTTCTTGGCCTGGCAGCCACCACATCTAAGGACTGGTAAGCTGCAATATTTGACAATTCTGTGTCTGGGTTTAGATCATTTTATGTAATTTTAGTGATTGGGTTGACATATACTATAACCTCCTCCCACAGGCTTTTCTTATTCAAAGGTTTGTATATCCAATTTCTTGCTTTTATTGTTAGAGAGAGGAAAGTATTAGAACCCTGTTGGGTTTTTATCACTGTCCCTGTACCTTACTAGGAAAATTCAACCTCTCTATTTATCCTGCTGATAACTGTAACTGGGAAAGAAAGTTAAGGAAGCGTCCAAAAATTTGAGTTGTCCCCCAGAACAAGAATAGAGTGGAACTCTTCCAAAGGGCCTCTCCTATCCTATGGAACTCTCTACCCCAATCTGTCCGTCTATCTCCCACCTTGACTGCCTTTAGGCGATCCCTTAAGACTCATCTCTTCAGGGAAGCTTATCCCACCTCAACCTAACCACTGAACCATCACGTTCTCAAACAATTCATCCCCACACCTCGACCTCCTCATGTATCACTGGCCTCTCCCTTTTAGATTGTAAGACCTCAGCGGCAGGGCCCTCCTTACCATCTTGTCTTGAATTGTATTGTGATTGTAATGTCTTCCTTATATTGTACAGCGCTGCGCAAACTAGCAAACTGTTGGCGCTATATAAATCCCCGCAGTGAAGATCGGAGGACATCACTTCCGCCGGCGACACGTCGCGCTGACGCGCAAGGTCGGAGGTCGATCGGCGGTCCGTCGTAAGTGCAAGTGGTCGCAAAGCGGGTAAGTCGGTAACCGAGGAATGTCTGTATAATAATAAACGGGACAATTGTTGAGGTGACAACAACTGTCCAAGAGGCATTTTATGTATTGCTTACTCTATCCAAAACGAAAAAAAAAAAAATTTGGGCAAACCACACACTTTAACGAGATCTTCCACTTCCAAGATAAAACCTTTTCCTGAAGATGCTAATGGCCTGGCTGTGATGCTGATCCAGTGGTTTCAATACCAACGTTGAATGAGTACGTGGATTAGGAGTTCAGTAGTGCCAGGCAACTAACAATTTCAACTTTCTGAGATAAGAACACTTTATAGTACAAAGTATATAAGCCAAGAACAGGTCTCTGACTGCACCCCCAACCCAGAGGCGCGTTCAGTTGGTGCTGAGTTAGCAAACCGCTGCTGAGCGCTGTGCTGCAAGTCATCGCTCAGCACTGCTAACTTAGCACTCGCAGCGGAAGTGAATGTGGCTGCAGTGAGTGTGACATCAGCATAGTAGTATCCCCGAAGGAGCCAATCACAATTTAGTGTGGAAACCTACAATTTAATGTTTTGATGGACGAGTGTGAACGAAAAACTGCGTCTGAATAACGAGGCAGGGTTTGTTCAAAATACTCCTTTCATTAATAGCCACATCAAATATGCCACGGCTCTCAGTTTCCCCCCGTAAACGAGTAGAAATTGCACTGATGGTAGGGTTGAACACTGAATCCTCCACCATTTTGCTCAGCACTGTGCAGCCGAAGCGTTCAGTGAAGCTGCTGCAGAACAGCTACTCAGCGCTTGGCTAAGGAACTGAACGCAACTGAACGGAAAAGAAAACCATTGCAGCTCCACCTACTGTGTTGTTCATAAGCTACAGCTGGAAAACCATTCATATACAAATGAGAAGTCTAGCAGGATAACAGACATGTAACAAGGCCAAACACCTAGGAGCTCCTAACACTTTGCATGTGAATGA